ACAGCAACACACAGAATTCAGTAGACCAGGAGATGACTCCGTGCTGGTATTTTGTTTTGTTTTTTAGAAAAAGCTTCCTCAGGCTTAAGACCAACCAGTATTAGATGGAGCACAATTAGGTTCCCATAAGCTTCTGGCTTTTCGTAATCCCAGGTAACAGTCTTTATTTCTTAGGTCATATTCATGATGCTTCAAAAGAATTAGCCTAGCCACGGTGGTGGCACATGCCTTTAAACGGGCAGATCTCTGTGAGTTCAAGGCCAGCCATGTCTACTCAGTGAGTTCCACCCTGGAGAGAGGTAGGGGTGCCTAGACCTGAGCATGTGGATTAAAGAAGCACACCCCTTTGTGTTTGAGCTGACGCTCAGAGGTGGTTCTGCCAGCTAGATTTCTGGCTTTCCTGACTTTAGGGAAGATTTTTGTATTTGCCATTTGCCCTAGGAGACATTATAAAACTAACCAAGGGGCTGGAGAGATGGCTTAGCAGTTAAGGGAGCCCACTGCTCTTACAGGGCACATGAGTTTAGTTTAGTTTCTAGTAACCACATGAGTGGCCCACAACCACCTGTGACTTCAGCTCAGGGGATTTGATACTGTGTTCCGGCCTCCATGGGCCTTTTACCCATGTGCACAAATCTACACACACACACGCACAAACACACACAGAGACACAATTTTAAAAAATCTTAACAAAAATATAATGCAAACCAAAGTCAGCAGAAAAGTCTCCCAAGCCCTCTCTATCTAGAAATATATATATTTAAGTTTATATCTTAAAATTATATGATTAGAATATTTGAAAAAGCTATACATCAAGTCACTTTTGCAATTAGCAACCAGGTGTGGCATGGGGCTGGAAAGATGGCTCAGAGATTAAGAGCACTGACTGCTCTTGCAGAGGATATCGGTTCAGTTCCCAGCACCTATCTGGTGGCACACAGTCCACTGTAACTCCAGTCCCAAGGCACCTGACACCCTTGTGGCCTCCTTGGGATTGTGTGCATGCGGTGCTCAGGCGTCCACACAGGCAAGACACTCATATGCTAAAAGTAAGTCAAAATTTAAAAAGAGAAGGCATGAAATGGTTAGTGTTGCAAGCTGATGTTCACTAACACAGGCCATAGGCAAAGCAGAACTGTGAACTCTCAGCAAGGTTCCAACTCTGTCGTGGCCAGCAGCACAGGCGGAAGCAGCTTTAATGACAGCTCGTGAGTCGCCAAACACACTTACAATCGTGAGGATGGCTTTGACGCACAGGGCAGTGGGTGAAGGCAGAAGGTCCTCACAGCACCTGTCTGAGGATCCGGGCACACAGATCACATGTGAGGTCGTGCGGAGCTTGCAAACCCCTCCACCTGTGCTCCCCAGGATTCCAGATGGTTCTGACCGAAGCATATTGCTGTAGAAGATGCTAGAAAGGTTTTTAGTGTGGGATGACCTGATGCCTGCCTGCTTTAGAGGGCAGTGTGGTGACGGGGGCCTTGTTCCAAACACATATTGCAAAGGTCCTTGGAGATCCATCCCATGGAAAAGTCATCTGTTTGTCATGGGTTACCATAGTAACAAGAGTGCAAAGCATCATTTACTCCTATAAGAAAAGTCTCCCTTGCAAGACACATTACTTAAAAGATCACCTTGTCTCGAGGAAACCAAATGCTGGGAGAGCACCATACCAGCATCTATCTACCCCCCTCTCCAGGCCTCGCTGCCAGCGAGCACACCCTAACTGCCCGGTACGGAAGGCATGAGTCTTTCAGGACTTGTGAAGGGTGGACAGTGGAGGCCTGAAAGAGGACATTTCCCTGATGAACCTTCAGCACGAACCCTAAACAAGGTCACAGCCCTGCTCACCTCCACGACCGCCTTCTCTGCAGTCCAATCTTCACCTAGGGAAAGTGCCGCAGAAACAGGCTTTATCTCTGAGTTGGAAAGCCCCTCACTGTCACAGAATCGGGTTGGTTTCCAGTGCAGCGTTTATTTAGCGCCTTTGCGGTGGCAGAGGCGGAGCCTGGGGCTCTGGGCCGCCAGGTCCCGGTTTTATTATTCCTGCTTCACAGAAGGGAAACGACTGTTGGTTGAGCACTAAGGAGCAGGCACAGACCCTGACCAGGAAAACTTGTTGGTTTGTAACGAACGGAAGAACGCCGAGGCTTACTTGAGTGTGTCGCCTGCCAGGTGGCACCAACTAGAAATCACTCGGGCAGGTTTTCTGGCAGAGACAGGGTGCGGAGCTTGAGGCAAGTTCAGGTGGTGACCTGTGGGTCATAGAACCCACGTAACCTGCCCCGACATCTAGAATTCTCGGGCGCTCCGAGTACCAACAACAAGGGGATGGGTGGCATTGAGATTAATTAAGCTCTTACTGCATACCAGACATTAGTCTGCAGGCATCAAGTCTATCCAGTAGCCCATTTCACAGAGAGGAAAAACAAGGCACAGAAATACTATGTAATGCTCACAACTTAACCTCTTGTTCCCTGGACACAAAGGAGGTGCCATGCCCAGGAGGAGAACCCTGCCTGGGGTGGACATTATCACAGGAACCTGGGTCATGTTTCTAAAGTTGCCATTTGGGCCACACTGCCCACACTCTGTCCCCCAGAACATGGATAAGTGTTGGAATATAAGCCTGAGCCTCTACTAACATCCAGGCCTCTCTCAGGACAATTGAGGGTTTTCTAGACCGTGTTTATCAATGAAATACTGCCTGATTTGCCTGGAGCTGTCTAAGAAAAATCAGAGAAAGCGCAGCTTCAGAGGAAATACCACAAATTAAAGACATGTGGGAGGCAGCCTTTTGAATAAAGGCATACACCTAAGGGCTGTGATTTTTTTTTTCTTTTAAAGAGTGTTAAATAAAAAGAAATCCTCACTGGTGTAAATTAATTCCCTTTCACACACATTTTTTTTTAAAGATTTATTTTTTTATTTTATTTTTTTTAATTTATTTATTTATTAAAGATTTCTGTCTCTTCCCAGCCACCGCCTCCCATTTCCCTCCCCCTCCCCTAATTAAGTCCCCCCCCCCTCAGCCCGAAAAGCAATCAGGGTTCCCTGTCCTGTGGGAAGTCCAAGGAACCCCCCACCTCCATCCAGGTCTAGTAAGGTGAGCATCCAAACTGCCTAGGCTCCCACAAAGCCAGTACGCATTTTTTTAACTACTCATTCTGGAACAGTACAAGCTGGTTTTTATAGATTGGTCAATCTCAGGTTTATAATTGTTTTTCTCTCTCTCAGAGAAGCAGAGAGGGCGCTGAACAGAACACGCAGAACATGCACGGTGTGAATGCGGCTCCATGGAGTGCTAGGGGCTGGGGAGCTGTCACCAGCTGCTGGCAGGCGCCTCTGCCTCAGTTCTCACTGAATCAAAACAGCCTTGCCACCCTAGAGCTCAACCACAAAGACACCGAACAGTGAGTTCTAGAGTTTTCTACACCCTCTCAAAGCCACATCAAAATCCCTGAGATGGGACTGGTCTGCTGACCACAGTGAGGTGACGTTCCACTTCTTGGTCCACCTAGGACAGCGGCTCTTTGCCCTGTCCTTCCTTCCTCTATAAAATGGGAACAAGGATGGCCCCTTCTTTCATCAGATGGGTGCAGAAGCCAAATGAGTGAAGGAATCAGAACTGCTTGGCAACACTCATGGTGCTCTAGCTAGTAAATACTATTGGGCAGGGTGGGAGGGGGATGGGAAACACCTACCAGCTTCCCAACACCCCCACTTTCACAGCTTTAAATAGATGTATTTGAAGGGAAAACTGGTGTTAGCATACAACCGAACAAGTGAAGAAATCTGCCCTTATCTGTCGCTTCAGGTGAGGGAGCACCTAGAAACTTCTCGATGTGTTCCCTCCTGCCCCAGAGCAGGACTAGACTTCCCAGGGCAGGATTGAGGGGGGACTTGTGAGCCATTCCTCTCCTTGGCTGGGACAGGCTGCAACTCTGCGCATATTTTGGGGAGGGGAGTTCCAAGCTTCCCTTTGGGCTCTATTGACCCAGGAGCGAGTATCTCACTTTACAGGGCTTTAATTATTAATAATTAGAACCGGATTCTCACGAGCTCAGGCGATCTCAAACTCGCTATGTAGATAAGAATGGTATTGAACTTATGATCCCACTGCCTCTCCCTTCGGAGCGCTGGGGTTAAAAGCTGGCTTTACATGGTGCTGGGGATCCTTCCCAAGGCCCACTGACCTACAGCCTCAGCCACTTTACAGGGTTTTTAAATGCTGAAGATACCAGAAAATATTCACAAGGCGGCAGCAATGACCGGGACACCTGGGTGCCTCTGTCCACCCTGTCAAACATCACAGACCCTGCACCAGACAGATGAAAGTGCACACTGCGCTTGGGGAACACACATGTCAAGGACAGACCGGTTACCAAAGCACACACCTGCGAGCGGGAAAGCTCTCCCGCCTCCCAGACACGCCGGGACGCGTGTCCCCTCCCCCACCCCCGTTTATGTCCAAGAACCAACTCTGAGGAAACTGGTCACGCTCAGGTGTCACTTCGGCCTCTTCTGACAGGGACATTATGGCTTCCAGGGAAGCTCATTAACAGAACAATTAATCCGCACAAAAAGCCCAAACCCACCCCAACGCCTAGGAGAGCTTGAAGTCGAAGGCGGAGGGCGCCCCGGAACGTGGACTCCCACCCCGGGGAAAAGAAAGGGGCTCAAGCCAGGGCCACCCAGAGGGTCGCACTCAAACACCCTGCTCTCAGGCGGCTCCGGAGAAGCCCGGCTCCGTGACAAGCAGGTAGGCAGGAGGGCGTGGGCACCGGCGAGCCGACGTCGCGTAGAGTAAAGTTCAAGCCGGATCTCACCGCCCGGTGGCCACCTCGCCAGGACTGTCCCCCGTTTCACAGTTCACAGTGACTCCCGGTCGTTCGCACGCTCCCACCCACTTCAAACATCCCCCTCTCTCAAGCGGACTCTGGAGCACCACAGAGAGCAGTCTGGAGTGGGCCCGGGAACACCGGGTGTCATCTACGTACCCAGCGCTAGCAGAGCGAGCTGTCCGGCCGCGGGGACCATCTTCCGAGCGCAGGGCGCTGCAGCCACCGCACTCCCTGCGGTTGGCTAGTGACCGCGCGCCGCCGCGGTGAGCGCGGGGAAAAAGGCGCAGGCGGCAGGGCCGGCCCCCGGCGCGCGGGCGGAGGGACGACCGCGCCTCCCGGTGGCACTGGCCGGCACGCTGCCCGCGGCGGAAACGGGAAGGAGGTTCCCGCCACCTCTCCGCCCCTAGGCGACCGGGGCGCGGCGGACCACCCTCCCGAGATGGGGCGCCCCGGAGGGCGCAGGGGTGGGGACTGGGAGCCGGGGGCGGGGACCCGCGCCCCGTTCGCGACAGCCAGTCACCACCCTGGGCCAAGGGCCAGGCAGGAAGCGCTGGGCTTCAGACACCTCCCCGCGGTGCTCGTGCCCAGGGTCGCCGCCCGAGTCCCCTGCGCAGTAGCTGCGTCTAGGCTGTAGGCGGCGGAGCGGAGTCGCCCAGGATCTAGTCACCTGCGCCAGAGGTTGCTCCAAGACAACTCCTGAACAGGGCCAGTCACCCTACAGGGACTGACCCAAGAAAAGCGCTCTCTTCATAGGCAGCCGAACACTAATTAAACGTGAATTCCCACCTGCTCCTCCATCCTTGCTGGCTCTGGGACGTCTGCACCAACCAGGGGCAAAACCACCCTTCACTCCCAGATACATTGTGAAGATCAGGGACTCAGTCTACCACGAACTTAATCACGTTTCAACCCTACTGTCTCAGGGGTGCGGGAGCCGGAACACGGCATGCAGTTCAGTGCAGGACAAAGTGGGAGTGGGTGGTGGGGGTCAGCTAGCTGACCCTTTCAAGGTTTATATAACTTTGACCTGGCCCTCGATACTGGACTAGGAGAGGGGAACACAGGAAGGGAAGACTTTCTGGGTGGAGAAAGGATGGCTCATGTGTGTTTGGGGGACCATCCATGAGGGACAATAGCCCCAAAGAGACTAGCCACAGTTGTCAGACTGACCCCCTCTGTTTCCTGCGCCTCACTGCCCCAGAGAGGCCTCACGCTCCTTGGGGGTGGAACATTGGTGCTAGGGCATGTTTGTCTTGGAATTCGCTTGCTGTCTGCTTAGCTGGATGCTCAAAGGTCTCAGGGTTAAAAATTCCAGTTTATTGTAAGGACAGAGGGACCACTATTCCAAAAGGAGGCCCAAGCCATTGGACCCAACGTGTGGCTATTGTGTTAACCATCCTTCAGTTAAGGAATGTAAAATGAAGAGTTGGGCTTCTGTTGTAGTTCATCGTCACTTGCCCTATAGGTTTGGGCCTGTCAAGAGGAATGACGTCACAGTGGGGAGCATTATTCGGCAGCCCCAAAACAAGGAAGGGGGTCCCAATATCCCCTTCAAGGATACACTCTCATTGATCTAACTTCCTCCAATAGGGTCCCACCTACTGGAGTTTCCTCCATCTCTCACTAGCGCCGCCCACTGGGGGGGTCCAAGCGAGCAACAAACAAGTTTTTTTTATGAGAAAGGGTGTTAAATCCAAGCATCTCTTTTGTTTTAATTAATTGATTGACTGGTTGTTTGATTGATTTTTTCTTTTGGAGACTGGGTCTCATTGAACTCACAGAGATCTACCTGCTTCTACCTCCAAAGTACTGAGATTATAAGGCCTGCATGGCCAGACCCAGCTCCAAGCGCCTCTTTTGAAAAAAAAAATTGTTAATACTATTTGTATAAGGGTTCTCACTGTACGTGTGTATCTGGCCAGCGTCTGATCCCTGGAACTGGAATTACAGATGGTGATGCATAGCATGTGTGTGTGTGTGGAGGGGGGGAACTGAACCCATAATCTCTGCAAGAGGAACAAGCGCTCTTAACCACTGAGCCAGCTTTCCAGTCATAAAAGGTTTCAGAGGCAGGCGGGCATTTAAGATCTGAACCATAAGATACAGACTATTCTATTATAAAAAGGTACTTTGAAAGGGATGTGAACTTGCTGGGCGGTGGTGGTGCACACTTTTAATTCCAGCACTCGGGAGGCAGAGACAGGCAGATCTCTGTGAGTTTGAGGTCAGCCTGATCGACAGAGTAAGTTCCAGGACAGGCTCCAAAGCTACACAAAGAAGTCTTGTCTTGAAAAATCAAAAAAGAAAAGAAAAGAAAAAAAAGGACGTGAACTCACATAGAAAACCATCCCTTCCCTACGTTGACAGACAATATTGTGCTGCTTCCGTCACCGCTTTATGCTGTGACTGCTGAGGGTCCGCCTGTCAGTCAATCCCTCCACCCACCGCATAGCTCCTTTCTGAGGTCTTCAGCATAGGGGCTCGCTTTCTTCGACTTGACCTGAACCTGCCCTGGAGCTTGCCTGGTGTTTTTGGCCACAAGAGGCAAGGAAAGAATCGGGGCTGGGGACTGGTTGTCTCCTCCCTGAAGCATGCGCAGAGAGGCGAAGGCTGTGGTTGGCTGTGGCTGTCTGGGAATCGGTCTATCCTGGTCCTCTGCCCGCTGCCTACACAATGCTGGGGCTGGCAGAACCAAGCAAGTGGGCTGGTACCCTGAAGGGCTGGAAAGTGTTTTTAATCAAAAGATAATTTGTAGGGATGTAGAGATGGCTCAGAGGGTAAGAACGCTTGTTACTTTTGCAGAGGACCAGAGTTCAGTATCCAGCACCCACATGGTGGCTCAAAACCATCCATACTCCAATTTCAGGGGATCTAATACTTCTGTGGGCATTAAGCATGCACATGGTACATATGCATAAATGCGGCAAAGCACACATGCAATAAAATGAATAAATATAATTTGAAAAGTTCTTTAACAAAAAAAAAAGATAATTTGCTAGCTTGCAAACTCAAAAGTACACAACGCCAGGCATATTCTTTCTGTTTTTACTCCTTCTCTCCCTCCTTCCTTCCCTCCCTCCCTCCTTCCTTCTTTCCTTCCTTCCTTCTGTCCTTCCATCCCCCTGTCCCTCCCTTCCTTCTTCCAACTCTCCCTTCTTCCCTTTCCCTCTCTGTCTTTCTCTTCTGGGCCTGGATCTTGTTACACAGCCAGGAATTTTCAGTTCTCCTGCCCCAGCCTCTGTAGTGCTGGGACAACAGAAGCATGTTATGGTGCCTTGCTTAGAGTGTGCTCCAATACATGAAAATCACTCCTTATCCCCCAAGATTTTCTTGAGCTGGTGCAATGAGGTTTTAGAACATTCAGGTTTATTTTTCATTCTTGCGTGTGTGTGTGTGTGTGTGTGTGTGTGTGTGTGTGTGGTATGCTTTTGTGTGTATTGTGTGTGCATGTGTGTGGGTGTCTGTGCACATTTGTGCATGCATGTGGAGGCCAGAGGTGAAATCATCATCCACTGTCCTTCTAATTCATTTGTTCACTGAGGTAAGGTGTCTTAATCAAACACAGAGCTCAGTGATTGGGCTGGCCTGTAGCTAGCTTGCTCTTGAGATACCTCTTTGCCTCCCAAGGTTGGAATTTCAGGTAGGCTATTACATCACCCAGTGTTTATGTGGATTCTGGGGCTCTGAACTCCAGTCCTTATGCTTGAGTGACAAGTTCTTTAAACAATGACTCCTTCCAGTTTATTTTTATGACTAGATAATGAGGTTTGGGAAGCAAAGGGCAAGAGTGATGTTGGAAACAAAATTTGTTCCAAGGTTTCTCTGCTCCATTGCCTCGGTTTCCCACGTTTTTATTAAAGATAATGCTTAACGTATTGGGTAGGAGAACTAGGTGCCAGAGTTTGCTTAACAGTCTTTCATATCAGCAAAGTCTCCCTCTGTGGACTCGCCTTCCCCTTCCATGTTCCCTACTCTTTTCTTGCTCAATCATTCCATGCCAATTTCCTTGTTTACAAATTCACATACACGCACACAAACCCATGCACGTGTGCACATATACATACTCATGTTTCAGTTATACAGAATTTATGGCTCTCTGAGCAGAGTGAATCCCAGTGTGTCCTTAAGACTGGAGAAAGACTGGGTGCCCTTCCCCTGCAGACCCTGCATCTGTCCCCTGCATCCCTGAGGCTCCATTCCTGCGTGCATGGAGAGCCCCCTTTATAGGAGTATACTCTGGATTGAGCAAGGGTGATCCACTCTGCAGAACCAATCGTGCCTGTCCAGGGCAAACAAGAGAACTCTGGTGGGGCTGGGGCAGAGGCCACCAAGTCACAGCCCAGGTGCCTTCCATCCAAATTCCGAGAGTGTGTGTAGGGGTATTTCCCCCCTCTTCCTCAGCCTCCCCTCATTCCTGGTTATGGGGCAGTCAAAGGCCCTGGCGCTGTCACCTAGCAGTCGGCCAGCTGGCCTGGTCTCGAGTAAACAGCCCCCTATACTTCTAGACAGTCTCAAGAAGGAAATACAGCTATGGGTGTGAGAGGAAAGATAGCTCCCATGTGCCAATCTCAGAGCCAGTGACCTGCTGCCTTCAGCATGTACAGGACCTTCCCTCAGGAAGCAATACAAGGCAAGGGGAGTAGGGGTGGCAGAGGCATCCACCAGATGGTAAAGTTCAGAAGCCATTGGTCACGGGGAACCTTTTTGGAGGACTCTTAGAACTGAGTTTTGGTGGAGTGAGGATATTCTAATACAAGGGATTTAGGGAGAGAAAAGGATGCAAAGTGATGAATTGTCTAAGTTTCAGCCCCATGGCCTCAGCGATCAGTGTGTCTCCAGCTCTAGGGGAGGACAAAGCAGGGGGACTCCTGCTGGGTTCATTGTGCATCTTCCTTGCCTGGGTGAGGAGGCCTCCGCCCTTAGGCACCTGGGTGATTTTCATTCCCAGTGCTGTTCAGAATGGATGTGGCTCCTGCTTCCTGCCTCACTCCTGGTGCTCAGGCTGACCTCAGATGTGGACCCTGGACATATGAATTACCTCAAATCCTTCCATCCTAGAACGCAATGTCGCCAAAGCGTGGGTTGGAAGCTTGGGTGTTAATGAACCCATAGGTGGTGCCTGCTGGTCGAGGCACTGGCTTAGCTGCCCTAGAGCTCTGAAACATCAACTGCTGCTACAGCAGAGGCACGGCCATGCAGCACAGCTTGGGAACTTCAGGGACCTGGGTGCAGTGCAGACAAACCCACTCTGGACTCAGCACTCATGTGGAAGACACCGCCTCTCTCCAAGCATGCTCAGAGGTAGAGAGTAGTCACTGGACATCCAGGCATGGGTCCGTTCTCTTTGCTGCTGCCCCTAGTGGTCTTCAATACACCATCACATCTTCCTGGAGATTGAGAAGATGGCCTCTGGAACCCTTAGCAGTTTCTAATCCAGTGTTCAGAAACCCTTACGCCAGCTCAGCTAAGAATGCTGACAGAAACAGTGATGCCCAGAAGTAAGAAGGGAGGACAGAGAAAACATAAAAAGGACGGGGGAGAAGGCTCAGTTGGCAAAGCACTTGCTATGCAAGCAAAATCCATTTCTAGAACACACACTTTACATATGTACACACACATATTTTACAAGTCCCATTTGCCTTGATTTCTTTTTCCTTTATTCTTTAGGTGTGTGTGTCCTGCACGCATACACACACATGCACGTGGTATGTCCATGCACTTAACTGTGTGAGGTGACACAGGACAACCTTGATTTCGGAGGTGCTGGGCACCTGCTAATTTAGACAGCAGGGTCTCTC